CAAAGACAATACAAGAAAACTACAGAGAGATATCTCTCATGAACATCAATGCAAAAATCCTCAACAAAATATTGGTAGATCTAATCCAAAAATGTATAAAAATAATTATAACCCATGATATGATCTGAGATTTATCTCAGATATGCAGGGCTACCTCAACATTAAAAAATCAATTAATGTACAGTCAAATGTTGGTTCCTGAATATCTCCCATCTCAGACAATTAGCTGTTCAACCCAGCAACCCTTTCATGCTGATAACTATATGATCAGTCCCACATCTCTCAGGCAACAAAGTAGAGAATGTGTGAGTATGAGCCAATTTACTGCTAAATCTCACCTTGTTAACATCTCAGGAAATTGTGCTGTGACTATTTTTGTAACTTTTTGGTTTTGTTGCTGCTTATTATTATTTAATTTTCATTTTTTACATTATATTTAATTTCCTTTTTGTTAAATTTTTATTTACATTTCATATCCTTTTTGTTTTTAAAGTGTTTATAGATTAAGTGGTACATTAGACATGTACTTTGTATAAGAAATGTTAAAATAGGGAATAACTTGGGGTCTGGAACAGATTAATTCAATTTACATTATTTCTAATGGGAAAAAATGATTTGGTTTTTGAACAGCCTTCTGGAACAAATTAACTTTGAGAACTGAGGTTTACTGTAATTCATATTAACAGATTAGAAAGGAAAAATTACATGATCATATCAACAGATGCAAAAGCATTTGACAAAATACAAATCTATTCCATATAAAAACTGTCAGTAAACTAGAAACTGTAGAACTTCCTCAACTTGAGGAAGAATATCTACAAAAATTCTACAGCTAAAATAATACTTAATGATGAGAAACTTGAAGCTTCCTCATTAAGATTGGGTAGAAGGCAAAGATGTTCTCTATAATCAATAATTTCCAACACTGTATTTCAAGTTCTAGCTAATGCGATAAGGCAAGAAAAGGAAATTAAATGTAGAAACATTGGGATAAAAGAAATGAAATTGTCGGTTTGCAGATGACATGATTGTCTACGGAGAACATGCAAAACAATTGACAAAACTCCTGGAACTAGTAACCAATTATAGCAAGGTTGTAGGATACTAGTTAGTATACAATGTCAATTGCTTTTCTAAATACTGGCAGTGAACAAGTGGAATTTGAAATTAAAACACAGTTACTATTTGCATTAGCACTTCTAAAAATAGAACACCTAGGTATAAATCTAACAAAATATGTACATAATCTACATGAGGAAAACTATCAAACTATAACACTTTGATGAATGAAATTAAAGAAGAGCTAAACAAATTGAGAGGTATTCCATGTTCATAGATAGGAAAACTCAATATTATAAGATGTCAGTTTTTCCCAAGTTGGAGAATTGACTACCAAAATCAAGGCTTACCATAAATCTAAAGTAATAAAAACACTGTAGCATTGGCGAAAGAATGGGCATATAGATCAATGGAACAGCATAGAGAGCTTAGAAAAAGACCCACATCAATACAGTTAACTGATATTTGACAAAGAAGAAAATGCAATAAAATGGAGAAAGTTCAACAAATTACACTGAAACAACTGGACATACAAACACAAAAAAATGAATCTAAACACAGACCTTACATATACCCTTTACAAAAATTAACTCAAATGGATCACAGACTTAAATGTAAAGTGAAACTATAAAACCCTTAAAAGATGACATAGAAGAAAACCTAGATGACCTTCAGTAAGGTGACCCCTTTTTAGATAAAACACTAAAGGCATCATCCAGGAAGAAAAAATAAGCTGGTCTTCATCAAAATTTAAAACTTCTCTATAAAAGACAACATCAAGAAAATGCAAAGATAACCACATACTGGCAGAAAATATTTACAAAAGATGCACCTGATAAAGGACTGTTACATACAATATGCAAACAGAATACACAACATGGGTAATAAGGGGTAAAAAAAACAACCACAAAGAGCTTTTAAAAATCGATGTTAATAACCCAATTTATAAATAAATGGTCCACTGATTTGAAAACCTCACCAAAAAAGATAGATGGCAAATAGTCATATGAAAAGGTCCTCAACATCATACATCATTAGGGAATTGCAAATAAAACAACAATGAAATAACACTGCACACCTATTAAAATGGCCCAAATCCAAAAAACTTAGAGCACCAAATGCTGGTGAGGATGTGAAGCAATAAGACCTCTCATTCCTTGGTGAGGGGAATGCAAAATGGAACAGCCACTTTGGAAAATAGTTTGGCATTTTCTTACAAAATTAAATGGACGTTTACCATACAATCCAGCAATCATGTTCCTTGGTATACACCCAAATAAATTCAAAATTTACATTCACACAAAAACCTGCACATACAGATTTTTAGCAGCATTGTAATAACTGCCAATACTTGGAAGCAACCAAGACATCCTTCAGTAGATGAATAGATAAATTATGTTAAATCCAGACGGGAATACTATTAGAGTTAAAAATAAATAAGCCACCCAGCCATAAAAAGACATGGCCTAATCTTAAATGCATATTACTAAGTGAAATAAGCCAATCTTAAAAGCCTACATACTGTATGATTCCAACTGTATGACATTCTGAAAAAGACAGTACCATGGAGACAGTAAAAGGACCAGTGGTCACCAGGGATTATGGGGGTAGTCAGGGGCATGAACAGAAGAAACACAGAGGATTTTTAGGGCAGAGAAATTACTGTATAATACTGTATTGGTGGCCACATGTCACTCTAGAGTTTTCATAATTAATAGAATGTACAAAACCCAAAACAAACACTGGTGTAAAAGTATGAACTTTGTGTGATAATACTGTGTCAATGAGGGTTCATTTATTATAATAAATGTATGACTCTGGTGGAGGTGGTTGTTAGTTGGAGAGGCTATGCATATGCAGGAGATGGTGGTATGTGGGAAATCTCTATGCCTACAGCTCAACTTTTCTATAAACCTAAAAATGCTCTACAACCTAGTCTACTCATTTTACTTTTTTAAAAAAAGGGAAAAAAGGACTAGTAACACTGTAATATTAATAAATATTGTAAACATTATACTAAGTAAAAGAAGCCCTTCACAGAAGACCACACAGAATTTATGATTTCATTTATGTAATGCTCAGAGCACACAAATCTATAGACAGAAGAGATGAATGATTGCTTAGAGGCGAGGGAATGGGGGTGGAGGGATAAGGAGTAACTGCTAACTGGGTTTTTTTTTGAGGGCGTGATGAAAATGTTCTAAACTTAGATTGTGGGATTGGTTACTGAAATCTGTGAATGCGATAAAAGTCGTTGAACTGTTCACTATAATGGATGAATTTTATGTCATGCGTGTATTTCTTAGTAAAAATGTTTAAATAAAGATTATAAGAAGATTCTCAATATGGTACTGCATATTTTCGGTTGATAATAAGGACATTTTCAGGTTAAATTTCCACATCTTTAGCTCTTTATATCACAGGCAAATTCATGAAGAAGGAAATTTCAGTATATTAAATAAAAGGTAGTGTGACCACATTGGAAGTATATCTATATTCAAAACTAGGGAATTTATTATCAAAGATCAAACTCTGCTTTCTGAAGTGAATCTATGGAATTAAAATGACAATTTCTGTTTCTGTTCAGCATTATTCAAACATGATGCTTACAATAGGCACAGACTTTGTAAAACTTATCAGCAGTCACAGTTGAGATATTTCCATAGCAAATGCCTATATTTTTGTCTCAAATTACCTTTCCTACTTCATGTGTGTTTTCATAAACTTTAATCATTTTATTTCAGGAACAATAACAAATGTCAAATTTAATTTTGACTCCTTAAATATTCTCATGATGCAACATTATGCAGTCATGATATATATATATTTTTTATTTTTTCAAATTTAAATCTACAAATAAAAGTACAGATATTAAGTGTACAATGTAATGAGTTTTGATAAATGTATACACCCACATAATGAACACTTCAGTTAAAGTACAAAATATTTCTAACACCCTAGAAAGTTTCCCCATACCAGTCCCTCACCACCCTACTAAGTTCTGATTTCTATCACCATAGATTAGCTTTGCCTGTTCTTGAATTTCTCATGATTAGATTAGTATAGCATGCAGTCATTTGTTTCTGGTTTCTTTTGTTCAACACAATGTTTATAAGTGTCTTAGTTGGCTAAGATTGCTGTATCAAAATAAATTAGACTGGATGGCTTAAATAACAGAAATGTATTTTCTCATAGTCGTGGAAGCTGGAAAATCCAAGATGAAGGTGTCAGCAGAGTCAATGTCTGGGGCGAGCTCTCTGAGGCTGCGGATGACCACGTGCTCCCTGCACCCTCACATGGCCCTTCCAGAGCGCACAGAGAGGAAGAGAAAGCGGGAGAGGGGAGGGCGCTGTCTCTTCCTCTTCTTATAAGGCCGCCAGTTGGACTGGCTTAGGAACCCACCCTTAAGACCTCATGTAACCTTAATAATTTCTGAAAGTCCTATCTGCAAATACTATCAAAATTAGGGGTTATGGTATCAACATATGAATTGGTAGAGTGGGTGGGAGGACAGTTCAGTCTGTAACAATGAGATTTATCCAGACTGTCACATGTATCAGCACTTCAATCATTTTTAATCACTTAATAGTGTTCCATTATGTAAATATCTCACAATATATTTTTAAATTCTCCTAGTGAGTAAAATTTTGATTGTTTTCTGTTTGGATTATTTAGAATAAAACTGCTTTTCATATAAAAATATTTGAGGATACATGTTTTATTTCTCTTAGGAAAATATCTAAGAATTTCTAGGCAATAGTATAGGTACATATTGAATTTTATAAGAAATGGCCAGACATGTACTCCAACGTGACTGTAAAATTTTTTATTCTTATGAACAATATTTGAGATATACAGCTATGCCACATTCTTGGCAATATTTCCTGTTGAGTCTTTGATTTTGGCCATTCTAGTTGGTTTGAAGTAATCTTTCAGTGTTGTTGGCTAATGATGTTAAACATTCGTATGCTTATTTACCATTTGCTTCACTCCTTTTGTAAACGAAACTATCTGTTGAAAGCTCTTGCCCTTTTTAAGAAAAAACTACATTGTCCTCAGATAGAGGATATATCAGATATTAAACTGATAAGAACAGATACTACACTTGATCTTAGCCAAAAGACTGAGCAGCAGTAGCTTTTGCCCATTTTTATTCATTAATTTGTGCCTTTAAAAAATTGATGTGTAGTAGCCCTATATACATTCTAGATACAAATCCCCCGTCAGCTACACTGTCCATATTTTCTCCCAGTCAGTAGCATACTCCTCCATTTTAAAATTTTTCTTCTTACTCTCTTTTCATTTTCTGAGAAGTTTGTAATTTTAATGGGGTCCAGTTTATCAAAATTTTCTTTTATCCTTAGTTATTTTTGTCATCTCTAAGAAATCTTTGCTTGCTTCAAGGTCGTCTCTATAATTCATTTAAAAGTAATTTTTGTTATGGTATGATTTTTTTGCGTTTATCTAACCGTTCCAGCACCAGTGCTTGAAAATATTTTCTTTTTATATCAAATTGCCTCATGCCTTAGTTGAAAATGAATCGGCCAGATATATTTCTAAAGTTTAAACTATTTCATTGATCTGTTTGTCAAGCTTTATGTCAATACCATATTGTCTTGATTATTGTAGCCTTATGATAAGTCCTGAAATCAGATACTTTAATTCCATGGATATTCTCCTTTTCCCAGATGATTTTGACAATTTCAGGTCATTATTTCCATATAAATTTTAGAATTAGCTCATCTATTTCTTTTTTTTTTAAAGCCTATTAGAAATTCATTTGAGACTGTTTTGGATCATAGAAATTTAATAATATTTTGTTGAGAACATATATATCTATGTCCATAAGGGATATGCTAGTCTCAAAGCAATCTGAGAAGCTTTCTCTCTTCTCCATTTTCTGAGTTTGTTACATTTGACGTTATTTCTTTCCTAAATATTTGAAAATTTATGAAAGAAATTATGTGAACCTGAAGTTGTTTTTTGGGGAGGGGTTTTGTTTGCAAATTCAATTTCTTTAACAATTATAGAACTATTCAGATGTCCTATTTCCCTTTGTTTTATTTCTGGTATGATGTGCTTTGCTAGAATTTATTTACATTATATCTAAGTTGTCAAATATCTTGACATAAAGTTATTTGTGTCTGTGAGATCTATAGTGAAGTCTGATCCCGTCTTTCCTAACATTGGTAATTTGTGTTTTTCTACCCTTTTCTTTGTCAGTATGATTAGGAATGTATCAGTTTCAGCATTGCTAATATTCCCAGGTACCTGGTTCCTCTTAACTGTATTATTTTCTTCTTTCAAATTATTTGGATTCAATTTGCATTTACTTTCTCTAATGCCATGCTCCTTACATTGAAAATCTCCCTTTTAATAATCAAAATAAACATTATTTTAGAAGAAATTTGACTCCCAGAATATTTGATATTAAAAGCCCCTAACATAAGCTTATGTTAACTTACAAGTGCTAATAGTTTTCCTGAAAATAGTCATTCTTCCTTCAAATTTCTAAAATGTCTTGCTTATCAGGAAGGTAATATATAAGGAAATCATGCTGATAGTATGTACACTGAACAGTCAGTGACAGAGGGAACTAAGAAGCCAAGGCCCTGGAACCATGATAAGAGCAGTAATAAGCAAACATTACTCTTCTCCCTTTATTTTAAGATTGAGAAGTAGCTTTACAGTTGTAATACAAATAAACAATATAATAATTAATACATAATAAAAGAATATACTGTGTTTCATGTACACACAACTGTAAACCTTTTGCCCACCCCTGTATATCACATGACTTAACAGGAAGAAATATGCATTATTAGAGTGTGAAAGATGTTTTCATACATCTGTGTGAGCTTCCAGTTTTTCTGTTATACTAAGTCAGCTAGTGAACATTTACAAATAGATGTGCAGATGTTCTATAATGTTTAATTAACTGTGGTGACTTAATTAATTACCAGGGTGACTATAGAAAGTTATGAGAATATCTTATATTTAAAAATGAGGTGTACTTAGATGGGGGAGATTTGGAAGATAATTTCTTCAGTATGTTCTAGATTTAGAGCACTAACTCAGTGGTGCTCAAAATTGCTTTTTTTTTTTTTTTTGACATCTCACCAATTTAGATATTTCAATCTGTAATATGTACTAATTCCATACTAAGCTACTTTGGTACTATGCTGAATGAATTTCTAAGTAGTATTTAAAGCAATCTTACAGAGTATTTAGAGTATCCATATATTTAATTTTGGCAGTTCTCATACATTTTAACAGAATCTTTTCTACAAAGAATCTTCATTTTAAAGTGACAAGTTTTCTGTCACTCCCAATGATCAATATTCAAAGGAAACACAGTGCATATGTATGTTCCCATGGGCCTTGGTCTATTTCACATACCTTAGACCATTAAAACAGAGGTATAGCGATAGGTTGGTAGATTGTTTTACATTCTCTCTCTCTCTCTCTCTCTCTCTCTCTCAGCATAATAGAATGACAGCACCTACTTCTCACTGAATGAAATGCATGTTCTTATTTTGCAGAAATAGGTGCTCTCCATTTTAAGCAGTCTCCAATTAAAACAAACAAACATAAAAAACAGAACAGGGAGTGAATGTTTACTTTCAAAATACAAAAGAATTTGCCAAAGGATCATTTTAATGTAATGAGTCCTCTAGAAAATGAAGTTTATATTTTACAAAATTTGGTAAGATACTGAGGTTTTAGAAAGTCAATTATTGCATTCTGTAAAGAATACTAGGATAATTATACTTGTTCTTAATTATTAAATTTAAAACAAATAAAATATATTTGCAATCACCTTGTATGTTTTGGCAACATAACTTTAGTTTTAATTTGTATATGGCTGTGACTTAAGACTAGAAAGTATAAAGCATGAATAATCCTGTTTTATCTTTTCCAGCACCTCTGGAATGTGATTTTTAGATATTAGCCTCATCAATTCTGAGAAAGCATAAAAAAACTTTAAAAAGTAATATCCCATATTAAAATGTGTAAGAAAAGTGGCTGTGTATTTCAAAGAATTCTGATATTTTTAAATAAGTATAAATTATATAGAGAATAATCAAACATGTAATTGCAATTAGTATTTCATCAAAAATAAGAGGAAAAATGCATGTAATATAATGAAAATGGGCTCATATTTACAAAGTGAAGTCTTTGAAACTAATGAAATCTCTCAAATTTCTGTAAAAATTAATGAAATAACATATATCAATATTTTTGTATCTTGTACCATTGTAACTGGTCTTTCCATTTTTAAAAAAGTATTTACATATTTTAATAACTTAAAACTATGAAGATTCTTTATTATGCTTTATTCACTGCAGTCATTCATTTCTAGCACAATTACAAAAATATCTGAGAATATATTGTTTTTGAAGTTGAGAGTTACTTAATTTATGGTAACATGCAGATATTTTATTCAATATCACCTGTAATCAGACCACCAATTTTACAGGTGCTTAACATTGTTATATCTTAGACTCCACAAATTTTGATATTTTATTTTCTGATATATATTAATTCCATATTAAGTTACTTTTATATTATGAATTTATAAGTAGTGGTTTAAAGCAACCCTACTGAAAATATTTAATCTACACAATAATTTTTCACATACCCAAGACATTTAGAAAAGGAATCCACAAACCAACTGTAGAGAATTAAATATTAGTATATATTAATAACGCTAAATTTCTTAATAAACAAAAACAGATTAATAGTCATATTAAATTTTACTACTTCAATGAAAAGGCTTTTCCTGCTTTCAATCAACTAGTTTTACTAAAGGAATGATTTTTTATTTTTTTTATTTATTTATTTATCCTCATCCGAGGACATTTTTCCATTTTTTGTACAGACAGAGTGGGAGGGAGAGAGAGGAAGAGAGAGAGAGAGAGAAGGAAACATCGATGTGAAAGGGACACATCAAGTGGCTGCCACCCGCACGACCGACCGGGGCCGGGGACAAACTGCAACCGAGGTACGTGCCCTTAGCGGGAACCGAACCCGGGTCTCTCCGGACCGCAGGCGGACGCTCTAACCGCTAAGCCAAACCGGCCAGGGCTTTTTTTTTTTTTTTTTTTAGGAATAATTTTTTATATATTAACATAAAGTGATGATTTTATCTTTTACTTATTTATCACTTCAAAATGTTTCCAGAGGGCTTCGCATGCATAATGAATAAAATTTCAGCCTGTTAAATCTTGGTATAGATAATGACTACTTAAAACTTTAAAACACTTAAGCTATAACTAACCCATTCTACAAAACGTGGTAGATTCAAAAAGTTATTTTAGGTACTGGATATCTCTCTATCATTTTACACTGATTCTATTAAGTATAATTTGATTTCATGATGTTTTCAAGAACTTAGCATGTATTTTCTTCAAATAAGTAAAATCACACATTTCTCAAAACAGTTTCAAAAATATTGTCTTAAAATTCTATAATAATAAACAAAATGATGGAAATCTAGTATTAAAAGAACTATAAATGTAAACATTTATATTTTCTAAATAAATTTAAGAGTATTGTATCAATAATTCTATTGAAATCCAATAAAATATTAAGAGATAAACATGACTATTTAAGATGTCAGGTCTTAGCAAATAATGAATATTTTATGCTATATCCATACTTGGCTTGTTAATGTTATTATATGATGACTGAAAACAATTCTTAACTCTTGTATTAACTGAAATTATTCATATACATCTGTTTGATTTCATATAAAAGATAAGCCATTACCTTAGTGAAAGACACAAGTAACACTGTAAGTAATGAATTTACATACACTATTTTTGAAGAAAACTGAGTTTATATTTTAAATATATATCTTTAAAATAATTAAATTAATGAATAGGAAGGAGTATTTGAACCTTAAAGTCAAATATATTTCATATCTAAATGACATTTTATTTAATAGACAAACTTTCTGGGCAAACCATCTTTTGGATAGAATTTTCTGCTATACCACCTTTGTTCGTTGATACAACTGGACGACAGGGAAGGCTGTGTATAGCATTATTTTAGGGGACAGACCAGTGGACCTGCAGTGTCCCATGTTATCACAGGGAAACCTCATAACCCTAAAGATCAGCATTAGCATACCACCAGTTATCTGTGCTGAGACATGTAGAATTATAAGGAGAAAGTTCAAATTCTTCAACTATCTCTCATGATTAAATTTGCTCAAACCACAGGGTAAAATATCTAAATGAAAAAAAAAAAAAAAAAACAATAGTGAGGATTAGCTAGCTATAAATTGCTCACATTAGGTAGTCTCCAAAATCCAATCCTCTGGTCTTCAATTTCGGAGACAAGAAACTTGAGTGCAAAGCAGCTGAGATCTAAGGGGTACCAGCTCTGAATGGACACCATAGGCTCCCTGAGATATCATCACTGAAGTTCTATGAGTTCCTCTCCTCTGTAAGTATTCCTGAGGCTATCAGGAATCTCAAGGATTCTGAACATGCCTGGATTTCTCCAAAAGATTCTTGTGACAAGCAAGATAAAGTTGCCTTCATGTGGACCTCAGCTAACCATGAGCTCTCATTTACAGGAAAGAGGAGAGAGGGAGGAGGATATCTGCACAACCCAATGTCAGTTCGCTGCTACTGAAAAAGCAGAGGAACAATTTACAAGCACCGCCCTGGGGCACAACTGCAATGGAGCCCATTCCTAGGGGAGCAAACCTACAAGGGCAATGACCGCACCCTGCCTGCTAAACGTACATCTACCCAAGACGACCAGAGGAATCAGTTTCTTCAGGAAACACCCCCTGGTTGCTGTCCCCTTCTCCTGCACTGGGTGTTATCCCTACATACATCTATGAACTTAGTCAAATTAGACCTGTAGCAAACACTGTTGCAGTGACGTATTTACATTTTTATCTTGAACACTAGGAGGCAAAGTTCCAGCAAATAGACGCCGTGATTATTTTATTTTTATGTCCCCAGGACCCAGCTCACTGCTTAGCACATAATACATGTTCAGTAAATATTTGCTGAATGGACATGATTGGAAAAGGTACCACCCCCACATCTGGCACATCTGCCACACTAATGATTTGGAGGTAGGGAAGATAAGATGCCCTAAGAAGCACCTAGGTGTAATTGTTCTTTTTTTTTTAAAAAAAAAAAGACCAATAGCTTGAAGTGAAAATACGATAATATAGTCTCCTCAATGCTGGAATAAATGCAGTTATTGTAACTTCCGAAAACATGAGTGAACCTGCCATCACTGACTAGATAACCTCTTTAAGCCAATGCATGGAGACCTACATCATTTGTTATAATGATAGTGTTCTATTGTTGTAAACACTTAAAACCAAGGAAACTGGTTTAAGAAATAATTATTTGAAACTTTCAAAAGGCTACACTACTTATTCTCTTACTAGTGGTATATTGTTAAAAAGTATTTAAAATTGCTCTAATTATTTAGAATAGAATAATTGGTATCACTGAAATAAAAACATTGATTTGTTCTCGGAAACCAAAGTTCATTCCTTCTTTTGGAAAAATGGTTTTCCAAAGGGAAGTTCAATTTTTAAAAGTTGTTATGAAAAGATTTCAGAAGACAAAGAAACAGCCATTTACTTCATTAACAGAAATAAGTGGATTTCCTGCATGTACAGCATTAATAAGGTTTTATGAAAGTAACAGGCCTGTAGAAATATTGAAATTTCTACAAACTTTCTTGTCATTTAAGGAAGACATAAATTTACTCTCTGATTCTTTAAATTTTACTCTATTTTTATGAAACATCCTGGAGATAGCAGGGGGACACATGGGATGAGGACTGAAATGTGTATTTTGGATACATTTTATAGACAAAGATGTGATCAAGGCCATTATAATCAGAGAACAACGCAAACAGACTTGAATCTTTATCACAATTGCACATATAATAAAGCGAGATTAAATAGTCAGAAGGCAAAGGGCTGCTTATACAAAGCACAAAATACAGTCTAATAGTTTGCACGCTTCAGTGATTTCAACTTAGTTCTTCGATGCAACATCATAAAAGTTTGATGTAAATGAAATATGTGTTAAACTTTGTCTTTCTCCTAAGACAAAACTACTCAAAACTTTAAAAATCTCTAATCACTACATGTTTACAATGCCAGAGAGGAAGAAAAAGAGAAATGATTAATTTTTAAAATTACCCAGCAATTCCATTGCATCATCTTCATTATCAATATCTTCTTCTGTTGCGGGTGGGGGAGGGCTGTGAGCAGACTCAAAGGAATCTTGGGAGAGCATGGCTGCCAGCAGTTTCTTATGTTGCTGTTGCTGTTGTTTTAATCCCTTAGTCTTGGGTTCCACCTTTAAGCTGAAGAAATATTTAAGTGTTAACTTTCAGTGATGATGACATGGTGCATTAGCCGTGGTAAGTAAAGAAAATCGACAAACATATTTCATTCAGTAATTCTATTTTGCTATGCAAATTTATGGACATATTAGTAAAATTTTCCCTGAGGATAATGAAAATATAGACCCTGTCTTCTTTCTGAGACATCCTTTTGTACCTCATTTCTCAAGTGGGTAGACAGAAAAAGTCTTCCATTTTTAATAAAGTCCAGTTTATCATTATTTCTTTCACAGATTGTGCCTTTGGTTGTATCTAAAAAGCCACTGTCATACCCTAGGTCAGATAGGTTTTCTTCTGTGATCTTCTGAGAGTTTTGTAGTTTTACATTTGACATTTAGGTTTATGACCCATTTAGAGTTAAATTATGTGAAGGGTGTAAATTCTCTGTCTAGATTATTATTATTTTTTTTACATGTGGATGTTTAGTTGTTCCAGCACCATTTGCTGAAAGGCTATCTTTGCTCCTTTGGATTGTCTTGGCTACTTTGTCAAAGATTAGTTTACTATATTTATGGGTTATTTCTGGACTCTCTATTCTGTCTCATTATCTATTTTTTGTTAATACACACTGTCTTTATTACTGTAGATTTATAATAAGTCTTGGAGTCAGGTAATATCATTTCTCCAATTTTGTTCCTCTCTTTCAATAATTTGTTCATTGCTCTGGACCTTTTGCTTTTCCATACAAACTTTAGAATCAGTAAGTTGATATCCACAAAGTAACTTGCTCAAATTTTGATTGGGTATATACATCATTTTTAATCTATTTTCTCTCCATTCATTTTGGATAAATTCTATAGATCTGTCCTCACATTAAAAAAATTCTGTCCTCTGTCATCTCTAATCTATTACTGGGTTCATTTAACAAGTTTTAACTCCTTTTATATATATTTTTTTCAGTTACATAATTTTCACTTGGTTCTTTTTCAACATTTCTATCTGTTGATCTTTTTGTGCTCTCCTTTGTTTCAATGGAACTTGTATTTGCTTGTTGAAGCATTTATGATGGTTGCTTTTTTTCTTTGTAAGCAGGATTAGTTAATAGATTTAATGAGGGGAGTTAAAAATGAAATTCAAAATTGTAGGATGGCTGAGGGTGTCAGTGCCCCTGACACTATCAGAGAAAATTGTGGGAGTTTCATGTTCAGTGGAGAAAGGAAATCACATGTTGTAATCTAATGTCTGATGTAAGAATGGTGTCACTGTCTTCCAACTCTATTTTAGGAAACAAATGAATTTAAATTCTTTGCCAGGTAATTTCATCACCTGATATACCTTAATGTTGGCCTTAGTTGACTATCATTTCTCATTTAAGGTGTAATTTTCCTGGTTCTTGGTATAACCGGTAATTTTTTATTGCAGCCTGCACAATTTGACTATTATTTGAGGAGTCTCTGGGGCCTATTTATACCTTTTATTTTAGAAGGCAGCCACCTGGTCTACCTTTGAAACTTGTGTTTCCAATGACAGTCTAATTTTCAGAGCTCTTGAAGTGCTATTTTAGTCTGCTTGGCTTCCCTGGTGTTGCTGGGACTCGCACTGTACCTGCTGGTGCTGTCTGAGGGACAAGAGGAGCATCTCCAGGTCATGCATCTGGTGCCTTTCAGAAGATGAAGGGAACATCTGACAGTTGGGACATGGGTCCCCATGTCAAGCTTTGCTGTAGAGGAACCCTTCTTTTTGTGAAGTAAGAGGTACTCAACTGCCTGGTGTCTTCAGGGGGAAGAGGAGTCTCAAGTCTGGTGGGAAGGGACAGCATGTCTTCTGACCATGTATTGTGAGTGGGCCTCTCAGACAATTCCCTGGCCAGTGGGACTGGGCTCTCCTGGTGAAGTTGGAAGGACTCCTGTTTGGTTAGGGGGAGAAATGAACTTATCTGGGCCACTACCTCCTCTTGCTAGTTTGGGGCTGGGAAATGCCGGGCCCAATTTGCCTTATGCTGTTGGTGGGGATCATAAGTTGCTGGCCACTGCTGTTCCTCCATTTGTCAGGTCCCTAACCAATCCATCTTCCTTTTTATGTTTTTACAGTATAAAAGTTACTTTGGCTGCCTCTTGCATTATGTCCAAAGTTTATAGCTGTATTTAAGCGGGGAGGAGCTGAGAGAGTCCACTTCATCTTTTCCAAACCAGAGGTGACAGATGACTTGTTAATTATAAAGAGTAAATGATATCCTCACAATAAAGACGTCTAGTGGGTATGGCTGTAACTAGGTAAATAAACTCAGCATCACCAATGATAGTGATACCGATGTAATTAATCTAAGTATTAATAACAGTAAAGGAGCACAAGGGAAGATAAACGTATGCTCAATTTAGTTGGGGGGACTACTGAAGGTGCTTGCTGTCAATCACACCTGGGAATGGAGGTCATTGGCCAGAATGGGCGTGGCCACTGCAAGCTTGGGGAGAGCTCTTATGCTTTCTTGGTGCCTCTTGGCTTTCTTGGGACTCCTGTTGCTTGGGGCACACTCTTGGCTCCCCTACATTTGCCCATACACAATGGACTAATGGACTACAACTAGCCTGATGCTGAACTAGATCTAGAAACTGAATGGAAACTCTGGACACTGGTTCTGATTTTAGCTCTACTGAAACCCCAGCTACACTTCTTCTATGACTGGAATGGGACTTTAGAAGCACAAAAATCTAATTCCACGCAAATAAAAATCACTCATTCTCCTGGGTGAGTCTCAGAAAATTATTTTTCTGGAGGTACCACAATGGCTCCATCCCTAGCATACAGGAGGAAAAGACACTCCAATACAATGGGACAAATTGACACTATGAACATTTAGATATGGTAAAAAGAGAAAGTACTCAATACCACCTATGTAGAATTATTACCAAAAAAATTTAACCTGAATTTAATGATCAGGAAGCAAACCGACATATTCAGATTTGAAAACAATTACCTTTCATCTACAAGAATATCAATGTCATGAAAGAAAACAAAAGTAGAAAACTGTTCTAGGTTATAGAAGACTAAAAAGACTTGATAACATAGTCTTTTATTTTATGCTGTATAAAAAAGAAAGAAAACAGAAAGAAAAAAAACACAAAAATCCATAAAAAACTTTACTGGAAAAATTAGAGAAATTTAAATATTGACTCTATATTAGATAATTTGATGGTGCATTGTTAAATGTTTTGGGGTAGTATAGTTTCAATAGTATAGTTTTATAAGAAAATATCCTTATTTTCAGGAAATGAATGTTAAAGAATTAAGGAATTAACATGTTATGATATCTATAATTTTGTTTCAGGTGGTTCAGAAAAAAAAGAAAAAGAAATAGAACACAGTAAAATAGAATAGACTGATCAATTAGCATAGGTAAAGCGAAGGCAAAATGTTAACTGATGAATATATGTGGAGGGTATATTGATATTGATATTACTATTCTTAAATTGTCTGTAGTTAATACTTTTCAAAGTAAAAACTTGAGGGGGGGGGATAAGAAAAATTATAATGAAGGCATACTCTTGGCAACAATACTTATTCCAATTTTAACTTCCATCCTAACTTTGGTTCCGAACTTAAACAGGAACGGCTATTGTGAGGAAAAGAGGCATCTCTTTTAAAATACTTGTTTCTATTTTAGCATCTATCAGTATAATTCAAATTAAATTGAAGAAAATTATTTTTATACTTTAAAAGTAGAGATAAAACATAAAATATTCACTTGTAAATTAATGGAAGTTTATTTAGCCCCAATTTCTTGTCATGGCTTCTGTCTTCTGAATAATTTCATCACGTGTCTTTTAAACTGAGTAATAATGTAACAATTTAAAAGCCTTCCTTGACCAACTATATTCACTGAGAAGTAAACAAACAAAACAAGTCAAGACCATTTTTAATTTGGATTTCTTAGCTGATAGACCTAACATGCTAAATGAAATTTACATCTACATTATTTGATTAAATCAAATTTATTTTAAAATAGTAATATTCATTCATGACTTTAGACCCATTAGCTTTTGATTATGAGAAAAGACATACATGTTGCTTTGAATGAGAAATGCCTGTGGATTGTAGAAGTGAAAACTGCACCATGAGAGAGAACATAGCACCCTCCCACAGGGAAGATCTTAATGCAAACAAGTGGTGGGGAGATGGGGAGAGATGGGTTTGGGGTGTTTCTTAGAGCACTTAGGGTTCTAGACCCCCTCTTAACCAGATATTGAACCTAAAACTTAATGATAATGGGATTATGAGAACCCCCTGAAGAAAAGCTGCATAGCAAAGTATTTAAGGGCACAAAATTTGAAGCAAGACAGCCTAGCTCTGCTACTTAATAGCTACCCAATCTTGGGGACAGTGATGTAACAGTTCTGGGACTTAGTTTCCTTATTCCTAAAATGGGAATAAAAATAATGTTCTCATGAGGATGAAATGGGTTAACATATAGGAAGCACCTAGAGCAGTCTCTAAAGTGGTAATTAATATAATTATATGTTCAAAGAACACAGTGGGCAGTGTTCTAAATAGTTATATGTCTCTTCTTGAGTAGTATCTCACATAGAAAGTACAGCACAGGGAATATAGTCAATAATATTGTAATAATTATGTGTGGTGCCAGGTGGGGACTTGAAATGTGGGGGGAATCACTTTGTAAAGTATGACTGTCTAACCACTATGCTTCTGCAGTACACCTGAAACTACTACAAAATAATATTGAATGTAAACTTTAATTGAAAAATAAAATTTATATTAAAAAATGACTGGGAACCAAAAGAGGCCTTAGGCCACATGAAAAAAAATAGCATAATATTTCAGTGTGGTGCTAATATATGCTAGAGATCCATTTTGCTTTGCTTTAAAAGGGTAACTTCTAAACCAAGATCAGACGGGAAGGGACAGTGTGCAGTGGCCGTGAAGTCCATACCCTAGCATGCCTACACCTCGGGGGGGGGGGGGGGGGGGGGGGGAGACTTCCTTCTGCATCTGGATGGGCTTCCATTTTGACTATTTGCCCTCTTCTTCCTGACCCCTCCTCCCACCAAGACTCTGTTTCTGAATACAGGTTAGTAAACATTCAATGTGTCTGACTACGTACGCGCATATGCGCCCTCTGGTGGAAAGCTGGATGATTCCACCCTTGACCTGTATCCCAAGCTTGTTGCAGTTCACCATCACAGCCTAGTAGACAGAACCTAAACCCTTTCACTTGACTCTAGTCAGAAATTAAAGGGTTTAATTAATTAATTAATTAATTAATTAAGGATTCTCTTAGCATTAAGGCTCAGGTTGTTGAAGAAATCATAACGTTTTACAGTGAATTGCTGTCATTTTTAAATTTTATGCCTGAAATCTATCTCTCTTTTTTTTACATGTCTTATAATTGATTTCTCAGATATTTATTAAGCACTTACTATACTATATACAAGGCACTGTGGCCACTGAGCTTTAGAAATAAGACATATTTTCTATCCTTCTCCTCACTTCAGCAAGTGCTTTGAATCTAGGATTTTTTTTTTCATACTGATCTCATCCAGTATCTGGCACATTACTCTGTGTTAATGCTCAACAGGTTTTTTTTTTCTGCTTTTACTTTTATTAGTCTTTATTTTATGCTGAATTTACTCCCGGGCCATAAGTTTTTGTTTCTTCAGTTTCTTCTGGGATATCTTTTTCTTCTGTGCAACCTCCTCTTCTGGTTTAGGAACAATCTGCTCTTTCTCAGTGAGGATCATCTCAATGTGGCAGGGAGAGCTCATGTATGGGTTAATCTGCCCATGGGCTCTGTAAGTTCTATGGCGCATCTTGGCAGTTTTGTTTACCTGGATGTGCTCAATAACCAGAGAATCTACATCTAAACCCTTAAGTTCAGCATTGCTCTCTGCATTTTTAAGCACGTGCAGCAAAAACTCAGCACTCTTTTTGGACCACCGACCCTGTGTCCAGCCCCACTGTTTTGCCTGGGCGCACCTACCAACTCCACCATTGTAACGACGGAAAGGCACACATTGCTTCTCAACAGGTATTTTTAAAATTCACTTTTTTTGAACTTCATTTTAAAAACACAGTACATAATAATTAATTTAAGTAGATGTATATGAGTCTTCCAACTTGTGAGAGATAACAATCTAGGGAAATAGAAAGACTGATTATGAAAGAGGAGGAAAAACATGAAGATCGAAATGTGGAAGATGAGGAACAAATGGCAGGTTACAGGTGAGTGAGTCCCATTCATCAGCTAACAGTGATCATGACCATTTCATGAGGGTTGAAGCAACTGTTGTCATTAGTCTCATTAAAACATGTGGTTTGGTCATGAAGACAGTGCTGGGCTCGCGAGACCTGACCACTGAATAAGCCCCAATGTTGACTGTTTACTAAGAGTCTGTCCATGAGTCTATGAGTCCATATATTGAACATATAATGACCTCATGAACATTCTGATATAAATGCATGATTTAAATTACATACCTTTTTGGTTTTAAATAGAAATTTGTGAGTCAGAAGGTATATTTTTTGTATGTTTTAGGTATTTTTAAGGCTTCTGTTCTTTTATTCTTTTGGCAGATTGATTTTTGATTGATCAACATTCTTTATGCTTAAAATTTACATGTTAGAGTATTCCTAAATTAATAAGTTTGATTTAATCTGCCACCTGTATTACATATTTCTATCATGTCTGCATAGTCAAAATCTGATATTAAGATTCTTTGTTCTTGGACTTCCTAGGTAAAAGAGTACCCTCCATCCATTTTCTTCCTTCTTATTCTGGTTTATTTTCTCTCATACTACTTATACCTACTTGAATTTATGGCTTCTATTTTTATATTGTTTGTCTCCTGCTGCCAATAAAGGTAACTCTAGGAAGAGAACAGTCCAGATTTTGTTTACAAATATAGCAAAAACAATTATGAGTTTTAATGAAAAGGAAAACTCCTTAATGAGAAGTGATTTTGGCTTTTATTTTAATAATATATATTTCCAAGTTGTTAGATTTTTCTAGTCATTTTATGGCCTATTAACCATTTAATAACAACACCCACTTAACAAGTAAAGCCAATTATAAGATCTATACTATTTACTGATATTGTCCTCATTTTAATAATGTGGTTCAACTGAGAGAAGCTTCATTAGGCTTTCAAGCCTTGATGGGCCTATTTTGTGAATCGAAATTACAATTCAGCAAGTAATTTTAGGAACTCTATTACCCAGCTATGCAAAGTCTAATTAAGATAGCTTTAAGTAGTATTATATAGTAGTTGTATTAAACTTAATTTTGTTTATGTTATAAATGTGTAATTATTTTTAATAACTATAAATGTTCAATAAACATATATGTTTTTCCCCTAAATGGCTAGATGAGCCATAGCAATTAATGCCAAATGGTAGTATTTGACAATTATGGAAAACCTTCTATCATTCCCCAACATATTCAGACCTCTCTTTTGTGATCCCTCTTTCTTTTATAGCTCAGATGCTTTCATTTCTTTCTTCAACTGTCTTAATTTAGAGGCACTTTGAGCATCTATGAAAGATGTGGTAAAAATGCAGGAAAATGTCCATGTGCACATACACACAACATTTTGCACGTGCTTTCAAGAGATTCAGAGATCTCTTGAGTTCATTTAGAGACTATATAGGGGTTATGAACTCCATGTGAGTAGCTTTTGTCTTATTCTAGTAGTTTTTCTATATTGCCCTCATAATTGCCTTTGTTTGAACCAGCACCTAACCCTCCAGGTAATAGCAATGGGTACTAAAGTTGTTGACCATTTTCATACAGTGCTGCATTGCAGAACCTAAGAGGAAAGTTCAGATAAAGTACACCTTAAAAAAAAAAAGCGTCCAGGAAAAATTGTAATTTTCTCCCCATAAGATTCTTACGGTTTACTATGCCTTTTATTTAATCCTCTCTAATCTAAAGGTGAAAGTCCAGCTTACTGTGTATGTATTATTCTGAATGAAAGGGAAATTTGGCTGTATACCAAAGATGGAGTGTTGTAATAATAGCTATTCAAATAAGAGTCAAGCATTAAATAGTAGGAAAGACCGAGATAGGAAACAGTGCAAAAAGTCAAGAAGAACAATAAACAAGCCCTATAAATAAGCTTCATTTAGCAGACATCTGCTGAAAGACCTCTGTGTGCCTCCTTCACTCACTTAACAGATTTCTATACACAATGACAATGTGCCAGTCCTCGGGGGGAGGGGGAGAGAAAAATGAAAGAAATCATCTTTGAAAATTAAGTATTTTCTTTCAGGAATCTAGAATATCATGTAGTCTGTGAATGTTTATGACTTAAGTTATAATACAAGTTCATAACCACTTAAGGCCAAAAGCTAACACTAGAGTTGCAAACTATAGAGTCATTTAAAGATTTCTTCTCAACCTGTTCTTATTCATCCATATCAAATCTAATGCTGTGTGAGTGCCTGGTATAAACTCAGAAATCCTGTTTTGTATTAGAAGATGGGAGAAAGATAGTTTCTAATCCATATTTTTTGCTATTCTTTAAATTTAGTTCAGGTATGCATTCATTCTTTCTGCTCTTCTGGGGCACCTTGGCAGGATTTCATCATTTTCTGCATTTAATAGGTAATACCTCGACTCAAAATTTAAAACTAGAGAAAAATACACCTGAAAACATTTTTTTAAATGTGTTTCTATTGATTTTTTTAGAGAGAGGGCAAGAGAGAGATAGAAACACTGATGTGAAAAAGAAACATCCATTGGTTGCCTCCTGCACGCCCTCTACTGGGGATCGAGCCCAAAACCCAGGCATGTGCCCTGACCAGGAACTGAACCAGGACCTCTCAGTCCATGGGACAATGCTCAATCCCCTGAGCTACACAGGCTGGGCCTGAAAATATTTTTTTAAACAAATATTTGAGAGACATATTTATGGATTGAGTTTTTACGGGTAAGGGATTGAACTAAAATTGCAGGCAAGATTCCTTTTAATGGGTATTCAAGAGGAAATAAGAGCTCACCAAAGTTAGGAAGAAAATAGATATACTAACATTGACAATAAATAGCTCCAATTATAATTATGACTAAATGAAAGCAAAATGAAAATCAACATGTTTCTATTTTACATTTAAGAACTAAAGATCTAGCAATGAATAAACAAAAATCTAGCGGGCTTCATAAGCCTGATATTAAAAATAAAATTACCCTCATTGACAGGAAAAATTGATCTTGCATTTCACAAAAGAATGTAAATGGATTTTTAAAAATGGTTTTATTCTCCTTATATAGGAAAGTCAAACTATTTAAATAATTTAAAAGTTGGTTCTCATGGAAATAGAATCAATTTTTTTTTATGCCTAAAGCACATTAATGAGTATTCTGAATTTCCTTCCTTCCAGCCAAGTGATAATTCAAAGTGTAAAAAAAAAAAAAACCCTGAAAGCTATTATTATGTTGTAGAAAATACGATTTTCTCCTTGAGAAAGAATAGTTATTGCTTGCTGCTAAATTTAACTTAGCATGTACAAAGTTACTGCGGCTATACTATGCATAGAAAAAACTCTGCTATGGTGCTCAGCTAGTAACACTGACAGAAAGTTTTAGCTCCTAACACATTTTAGTTCATGAGTATTTATACCCATTTTCTCAATCTTGTGTATGCCATGCTTCACATAATGATTTTTCACTCCAAATTCCTTATAGAAGTTTTCATTTTTCTTTTGAGTTTTACTCATTGCAAGTGCTATTATAAAAATGGCTATTCTAAATATACTTTTTCTAATAAATATGATCTGAACTTTTCCCTTCTGCCCACATATGGAAATTGAAGGCAAATCTCTCATCACCAATCTGACCATCACAGGTTGAGTCAAATGAAGCATGGACTTTCAAATGTATAAATCATAATGGTTTCAAACATTAAACAAAGAAAATATAAAAAAATTAGATGCAATCATAGTAACCAACTCTAAACTTAAATGTTTCTAAACCAAGGTTTCTCTCTCTTTATATTCCATATTAACACTGCCTTGAGTTTTCTATCATATATTTCATAGTTTTCTTTTCCCTGAGGACTATATGTCTCTTGTACATCAGAAGTCATGCCTCTTCAATTCTTTTTTATGTATTGGGGTAACATTGGTTAATAACATTATATAGGTTTCAGGTGTTCTATTCCATAGCACATCATCTGTTTATCACACTGTGTGCTCACCACCCCAAGTCTTGTCTCCTTTCATCACCACCCATTGACCCCTTTTATCTTCTTTGTCCTCCCCTCACCCTCCTTCCCCTTTGGTAACCACCATACTATTGTCTGTGTCTTTGAGTTTGCTGTTTTCTGTTTTATTTCTCTTGGTCTCAGTTTTTTGTGAACTTGGGCCCAAAGGCAAGGAAAGTTAAAGCAAAAATAAATGAATGAAACCACACCAAACTAAAAAACTTCTGCACAGCAAAAGAAGCTATCAACTAAACAAAAAAAGCAACCAACCGAATGGGAGAAGACATTTGCAAACTTACTTCCAATAAGGGGATAACATCCAAAATATATAAAGAGCTCACACAACTCAACAACAACAAAGCAAATAATCCAATTAAAAGGAGGTGGGGGCCCTGGCCGGTTTGGCTCAGCGGTAGAGCATCGGCCTGCAGACCAATGAGTTGCGGGTTCGATTATGGTCAAGGACCCGTACCTCAGTTGTGGTTCATTCCCGGCCCTGGTTGGGGTAGTGCCGTGCAGGAGACAAACCATCGATGTGTCCCTCTCATACTGCTATTTCTCTCTCTCTCTCTCTTCTTTTCTCTCCCTCTCTTTCTTTCCCACTCTATCTGAGGATAGATAGAAAAATATCTTCAGGTGAGAATTAAAAATAAAATAAAAAAGGGGCAGAGGACATGAATCAATGCTTCTCCCAAGAAGACATACAGATATATGAAAAGATGCTGAACTTCCCTAACTATACAGGAAATGCAAATCAAAAGTATAATGAGGTACCACCTCATACCTATTAGAATGATTATTATCTGTAAGTCAGGATGTAGCAAGTGTTGGAGAGGATGTGGAGAAAATGGAACACTTGCACACCGCTGGTGGAAATGTAAGATGGTACAGGCACTATGGAAAATGGTACAGAGGTTTGGCTAGCAATTAAGAACAGAACTACCATAAGGCCCAGCAATCCCTCTTCTGTGTATCTATCCCCAAAACTAGAAAACATTTATTCATAAAGATATATGTACCTCCAATTCTTAACAGTCAGCCATTCCCTGCCCAATATTATAGAAAGTCTCAAATGAAAGTTTATATCCTTGAAATTAATTCTCTGTTTGGTATTAGTAGCAAAGAGATGGTAATATTTTTAGATGTAAAGAAAAAAAAATCAAAACCAAGATCTAAAAACAAATCTAGTAGCACTCTAATTTTAAAAGAGAGAAATACGTTTTTATCTTGTGTAGAGTCCAACATAATTTTCTATATAAAATCGCTAATAACTATTACAATAAAATCATGCATTTGGATTTACTTTACCTGCGCCTCGTAGTGAATAAATTCAGAATCTTAGACGCCATCTCAGCTTACCTTCCTGCGGGGCTGGAGCTGCTGTCTTCACTTTCCCATTGTTCATTTTTACTTCTTGGAATTGGAGGCTGTAGCATTTCGGCTGCTAATGGATCAGCATCATTCTCTTCTCGACCAATCCATTCTCCAATCACACGGGGTCTCAGAAGAGTAGAATTAAACACCGCTGTATCCTGAGGAGGAGAAAAGAAGGTGCCACCTTAGGACAGTAAGGAAATAATTTTGTCTAGCATTTCAACTGTTTCCTCAAATCGAAATGTTCCTTTATTTCTTACGGAACAAACTTGAAACGTCAGTACTCTCCATCTCTACTAGATGACTTGCGCCATGTGATTTGTGCTGGTTCCACCAGGAGTGAAACCTTTGACCTGCACTTGGAAGGCTGCCTGTGCGCTCAGGAAGGAGGTACAGGAGGGGCGTTTGGGGGGAAGGCACAGTGTGTTGTGAAGGTCCACACAGAGAAAGAGCTTTGTATTGCTGGGAAATGGTAAGTTGTTTTGCAGGAAGAAATTGGAATGGGGTCAGGAAATAGGGAAAGGAGGAGACAGGGCTGAAAGGTTCTTTGCCTCCAGCTGCGAAGCATTGTGGACTGTTAGGGATCCAGCAGAGGTTGGAAGCAGGGCAAGAGCAATGACAGGTATGCTCTGCTAATTCAACAGTGAGCTCTTTTCATAGACTAGGATATGATATGGCTCTTTAAATGATATTTTCAATATTTATGTCATTTAATCATTTAAAATGATAGGAGAATCCTGAACACATGTGATTAACAGGAGTATCTTGGGAAGTGGAAAATGCAGGTTAAAAAACAATACCTATTGTATGATTTAATTTTGTTTAGAAATTCATATTGATGTCTATCCATCATTCACACACTAATCTAGTAATTTATTCATTTTCTTATATTTGTTAAAACCTACTATGTGCCAGATACTGTTTGATTTGTTGGGAAAAACAATTGTAAGACTAAAATTTAATAGTTTTATCTGAATGCAGGAACCACAAGTTAATTTTCATTTCTTCTTTTGGCCTCTTCATTTCTTTTCAATATTCTATGATAAATATGTATTTGTCTTAGAGTGAGAAAAAATATATTTTTCATAATATTTTGCTCAACTTGCTTAAATTATGTTTAGCTATAATTTTTAGTATTATAAGACTTTGAAACAAGACCTTAAAAATTCAGACCTGGTCTTCTGAGTCTTTACAATTCTCAAAAATTACAGACAAATAAAACAATAAAATACAAACACAGTATTACATCATATACAATGTAATATTAATTTATATACAAATACAACACCAAAAGCAATATGTAAAATATGATTAGGACATATTTGATGAACATTTATCCAAGTGATAACAAGCAACAGAAAGTAGTTGGATACCTCAATATTGATTCCCAGCCCACATGAAGATGTAGCAGATATTTTAGTAACAATGTCTGCATAATTTAGCAACTAATCTAAATTCCTTCCGTATTTATGTTCCCAGAGTCAGAAAATCAAAGAACTATAATGACTTTCAGCTGTGAAGTCATATAAGCAAATTAATGTTTTGAAATATCTAGAAAGACATATTCATTTGCCACTGTTTAATATCATTTGAAGTACAAGAATTAAAATTAGCAGCAATATTGTTAAATTTTAAACCTAAATTTGCTTCTGAAAGCAAATTGAGACAAAGACATGTTTTAGAACAAAGACATATTTATAGCTTCTGAATCAGTTTTGGTCTGTGGGTCTTTGAAATCTACTTGTTCTCTGAATTTCATTTTCTCCAACTATAAAATGGTGATGATGGGAATTACAAAACCTACTACATCAGATGACTTACTAGGGTAGCACAGTTAAGCCACAGAATTCTGTACATATGCTAGACAATTTATTTAAGGGTGTGGACTGTATTCAAACAATTTCTCTTCATGTGATATATCTGGAAAACAAACAAACACACAAACAAACAGTAAAGTACAGGGGTGAGCTAGTTGGGTAAGAGTAGATGCTTAGTTGTAAATATGGACAGAAAAACAGAACAGGGAATTGATGAGGCAGATTTCATCCAATGAAGATTTTAAAAAATAATTTATTAATGTTTTTTATTACAGATGTCTCTCCTTTTTCCCCCTTTGACACCTTCCTCTCCAATCCCGCCCCCCAACCCCTGCCTTCACCATACTGTTGTTGTTGTGTCTATTGGTTAAGCACATATGTATGTAAGTTCTTTGGTTTATCTCTTTCTGCCCCCCCACCCCCTCACCCCTCTTCCCTCTGAGGTCTGTCAATCTGTTCCCTACTTCCATGTCTTTGGATCTATTTTGTGTTTATCAGCTTATTTTGTTCATTATATTCCACAAATAAGTGAAATAATATGATATTTGTATTTTTCTGATTGGCTTATTTTGCTTAACATAACACTCTCTAGGTCCTTACATGTCGTTTCAAAGGATAAGAGATCTCTGTTTCTTACAGCTGCATAGTATTCCATTGTGTATATGTGCCACAGTTTTTTTTATCCACTCACCTACTGATGGACACTTGGCTGTTTACAGATCTTACCCATTGTAAATAGTGCTGCTATGAACACAGGGGTACATATATTCTTTCTGATTGGTGTTTAGGCTTCTTAAAATATATTCCTAGAAGTGGAATCTCTGGGTCGAATGGCAGCTCAATTTTTAATTTTTTGAGAAAACACCATACTGTTTTCCACAGTGGCTGCACCAGTCTGTATTCCCACCAAAAGTATACTAGAGTATCTTTTTCTCCACATCTTTACCAGCACTTATTTGATGATTTGTTGATGGCAGCCATTCTGGCAGGTGTGAAGTGATACCTCATAGTTGTTTTAATTTGCATCTCTCTGGTGATTAGTAATATCTCTCTGATGATTAGTGATGTTGAGCATTTTTTCATATGCCTCTTGGCCATTTGTATGTTCTCTTTGGAGAACTGTGTATTCAGGTCCTCTATCCATTTTTAATGGGATTGTCTTCCTATTGTTGAGTTGTCTGAACACTGTATATTTTGGATATTAACCCCTTATCCAATATATCATTGGCAAATATGTTCTTCCATACAGTGGGTTCTCTTTCCATTTTGATGCTGGTTTCTCTTCCTTTGCGGAAGATTTTGTTTGATGTTGTCTCATTTATTAATATTTTCCTTTGTTTCTCTTGCTGTAGGCATTGAACCAGTGAAAATTCTACTACATGCGATGTCTGAGATTTTGCTGCCTACATTTTCTTCTAGGATTTTTATGGTTTCACTAGAGACATTTAAATCTTTTTTTTTTTTTTTTTAATTCTCACCCAAGGATACTTCTCCATTTATCTTCAGACAGAATGGGAGGGGGAGAGAGGAAGAGAGAAGGGGAGAGAGGGAGAGAAAAGGAGAGAGAGAGAAACATCGACGTGAGAGGGACACATTGATTGGTTGCCTCCTGCATGACCCCGACCAGGGCCAGGGACGAATCACAACTGAGGTACATGCCCTTGATTGGAATTGAATCCATGACTCACAGATCCGCAAGCTGACAATCTGCTGCTGAGCCAAACTGGCCAGGGCTTTTCTGCATTTTGAGTTTATTCTTGTGTGGTGTAAGTTGGTGGTCTAGTTTAATTTTTTTTTTTGCATGTAGCTGTCCAATTTTTTCAGCACTATTTATTGAAGACACTGTCTTCTCTCCATTGTATGTTCTTGCCTCCTTTGTCAAATATTAATTGAGCATAACATGTTGGGTCAATTTCTGTCTTCTCTGTTCAGTTCCATTGATCTATATGCCTGTTTTTGTGCCAGTACCAGGCTGTTTTGACTACAGTGGCTTTGTAGTATAACCTGAAATCTGGAATTGTGATCCCTTCAATTTTGTTCGTTTTCAAAATTGCTGTGGCTATTCAGTTTTTTTCTTTTTTTGTGTGTTTTGTTGTTGTTGTTCCATATAAACTTTTGGAGTGTTTGTTCTATATCTGTGAAGTATGCCATTGTATTCTAATAAGGATTGCATTGAATCTATAGATTGCTTTGTGTAGTATGGACATTTTCATAATGTTGATTTTTCCAATCCATGAACATGGTATATGCTTCTAATTTTTTATATCTTCCTCTATTTCTTTTTTCAATGTCCTATAGTTTCCTGAGAATCCCATAAAATTTTATTTTGTAGATAGTATATTTCAAAGATTGAACAATTAATTAAATGTTGTTATTCTCATTTATGTTGTGGGGCAGAATTAGGCTTAAATATTTGTCTTACTATAGGCTCCACAGATAAAAATGAGTACAAAGAAACTGACCATTGTAACAAGAAAAATGAGTAGATTCAGACACTATAAATAAACAAGTAAATAGGATTTGGAATGGAATTTGATCAAAAGTTGAAAACTACAGAGAATCAGAAAAAAAATTCTTTGGTTGCTTATTGGAAATGAAATAAAATGAGAGATGTCTCTGCTATTGGAACATAGAGCACAGAAAGAAGGATAAACAACTTGATATGTAGCCTGTTTAACTCCAATGAGCAGCAGAAATTTAGAGAGAAATTGCTGCTTTTCTTTGTGAGCAAAACAGTATAATGAGTAGTACAACAGAAAGAGGAGTTAGGAGGTAAATATTTTATAGATGAAAAAAGTATGACTCTATTTTTATCTTTTGGAATGCACAAAGCTTTTAAAAATAATTGTATCTCTAAAATTTCATAAATATAGTCTATTTGCCTGTAATATAATAAAATAACATTTTTCTTTGGATATATTGCTTATATTTGATTAAGCTAAGTAAATTTCTTTCCAGAAATCTTTATGAAAAAGTTTCAGTGAAGAGAGCAATTCTTAGCTCTACATATAATACATCACAAACATTAATATGTGTTAAAAAAAATTTTTAATTACATTGAATAAAACACATTTAAAATATGTTTTTATTGATTTTTTAGAGAGAGAGATAAAAAACATTGATGTGAGAGAGAAACATCGATCAACTGCCTCCTGTACGCGCCCCACTGGGGATTAAGCTCACAAACTGGGCATGTTCCCTGATTGGGAGTCAAATTGGGACCTCTTAGTCCATGGGGCAATGCTCAATCCACTGAGCCACACTGACCAGGCAAAACACATTTTAAAAAATATTTTAAGTCCATGGATAAAATAAATCATTTAAAATTTTAGTTATAAAAA